ACAATATATAAATAAATACATACAAAATATAAACTATACATATAAATGAAGAAATTTACATATCAGGAGGAAAGGTAGTGTTCTCTCACTCGTCTTTTTGTTACACAAACATATAAAAATCAATGACAAATCGCCACGTATCAATCCAGTACCCATGGTACAAGGAACTAGAACGGCTGCCGCACCTGGCGACGTTTGACTAGCCCATTGTTGCAGATATTTCCTGTCATCAGCACCTATGCTTAGCCTTCTCAAGGTGACATTCTAACTTAGGTTTTATGATCTTTTCTTCTTTTATTTTTAAAACGTTGCCCCACAATAGGATTTTCTCCTTTGTCGTGGGTGCGTTTACAAATATACAGGTTCACATACACACGACACTCAGACCCGAAACAACAATTTGTGGATCACACAAAGAGTTGTTTCCTGCGGGAATCGAACCCGCTACACGTTAACCGTCAGTCAGTTACCCAGCCACCCCGCCAACCGAGCAGTCTAACTTTTACTTATTAAAAAGTAGTGTATAACATTATTGTGATTTAATATCTGTTAAATTACGAAATGTAAAATCATAAATAATCGAAAGGAGTTAGGTACAGGCTACATTAACTACAAATGGTACTCACAATTTCGAAATCACGATTAGAAAAATTGTGACCCGGTCCCCGAAATAATTAAATCAAATAAAAAATGCCCAAAATATAGGACCTCGATGTCTTTACATTAATAACACCACCAATTTATTAAAAACTAAAACCCATGAGATCAATGAAGCAGTAAATTACCATTTAATTTCACATAAGCCTGAACCCCATTAAAGAACTTCCTCCAAGCCTGCTTAACCTTCTATTTCAAGCAAATATGACCTCTAATTACATGAAACTACGTAGCATTCTATATTGCCTTCACCAAAGCAAGTTATTTCATAATTCTTCATCCCTACATCTATAGTATCCTTGACAGAAGAAAAAATTGAAAATAATTGAAGCATGTTTGTTGTAGTCGGTCGAGTAAGTCGGTATATAAGCGGTGTGCGCAGGAGTCGGTCATCAGTCGTTGCAGTGATACCTTGTAACCAACATGAAATTCTTGGTAAGGGAGCTTTGTATTTTAATTTAGGGGGCTTTTTGATAATTTTTATAAAATAATACGATAAAATTTAAAAAAAAAATAATATTTTTTTATTGGTATTTACTAATAATATTCCATTATAATATTAATGATTTTTTTATTACTAACTATTATTATAATATGTTGCAGTTTGTAGGTACATAAAGTAAATCGTTGCATGATATTGCATATAATCATAGTATACATGAAATAGTAAAGTTGTAGTTAGTTATCATATTTTGTATTAGAAAAAGTTCTGAAAACTTTACTTGCACTGTAAAATACGCTTTTCACTCTGAATGTAGATAATGTAGAAATAATCACTTACTTTGTATATAATCGCACGTATCAAACCAACCAAAAAATTTAACACCCACTTTTCACTATTTATGATATGAGTCCCATGTCATAGGGGGTGAGCCTACTGTCCTATACTAGGCACATTTCCAAAGTGGATGTTACATTGTACAGTGGCATTAAGTGCCGAAATGTGCTAACCTAACCCTTCGGGGATAAAAAAACGCCGTGAGATAGAATAATCAATATAATTTTCAGTTACATAATAATATATAAATTCAATCAATCATATTTATTTATTTAAAATCTTACCTAAAACTAAATCTATGTACCTAATTACTAATTTAAAACAAGACAAAACAAAATCAAAATGAGAGCATACACATCTTCTTTTTGATAAAACTGTCAATAATTTAATCACGATTTAACTTTATAAATATTATAGCAAAACTAACAAATCCTAATATGTTAAAGCCAGCTGCCTAATTCCAAACTACTTTTCATTACAAGTGTCTAAGTAGATACATTTTGCTATAGGAAGTTGCATACAGTTTGCCCCAGATCTCCATGGCAAATTATACCTTACTTCATTCAATAGGATATGATTCATACATTTGTTGATATTTAGCGTTGCAACAAATCATAGTGTGTATTGTGTGTAACGTGTCATTATTTTTGTGTATAACTTAAAGTGTTTGTTTTTAGAGGTATAAAGTGCAGTGGCATATTTGTGGATACCTAGTGATCAAACTGTGATTAGCTGTTTTAATTTCGTCTTGTGAACAATTTCGACTAAGTAATATGTTTTTTAATTAATGTAAAAGTTCCCTGATTTAAATTTATTTAAAAATATTTTAGATTCATAAAAAAAAATATTTTCGTTCGTTAGATAAAATGCAAAGATTTGGTATTAGAGTTCAGATATGTTATGTTCAGAGTTCTTGTACTCGAGTACAAGAACTGTTACATATTCTACGCTTTATAAAAAAACACTAACACACTATATAAATATACATTCCAAAAATTAAAGTATTTTCAGTAAAGTAGTTTTGTAGTATAGTTATTAGTGCATGAAACAAAACACTAGACTTATCTATGCATGCCTTAACACTATTGATTGTTGTTACCCAAGTAGTAATTGAACTCGTAACCTTTCAGTCGCCAGTCCATTCCCTCACCTTTAGCCATAATGTGATAAATAAGAGCACATTATAGTAGCCAAAGGTTTTGTAGATTTTGTTTTTATCTACCATATTATTATAAGTGCCTACATTAATGACTGCCTCATTGGCCGAGTGGTCGCAAGTGCGATTGCCAGGCAAGGGGGTCTCGGGTGCAACTCCAGGGTCAAGCAAAGTATTACTTTGTTTTTTTTTAATTCTCAGTAGTAGCATGGAGTCTGAAATTGTGCCCGGGATAATGGCAATAGGCTCACCCCCTATTACATTGGACTCATGACATAAATAGTGAAAAGTGGGTGTCACATTGTACAGTGGCATTAAGTGCCGTAATGTATACCTCTGGCCTACGCCTTTTAGGATGAAGGGCGTGATGCTATGCTATGTTAGTATCGTAAATAATTTCACATTGTTTGAAACGGTGATTTGGGTTTGATATTGGCGTTTATTAAAGTAGTGTTAGATGTAAACAGAGTAATATAATGTACATAATAATTATATTTCAGTAGCCTAGCTGAGATTTGTAAAAACCATTGCGGGTGGTCCAACTGTCCTGACCAACTAGTTGGATCACGGGTCTTTACAAGGGGCAGTTGTCCAACATTAATTTTAGTTGGACCATAGCACCACAATATACCTATTAACATTTTACTAATATAGATATATTTACGAGTTTTTCCAAATATTTTCCTATAAGCCACTTCAAGCAACTTAATTCACTAAAGACAGTCCCATTGTTAGTATTTATGTCACTCAAAAAGTAACCTTAAGCTACAGAAACGAGTCGCGGAGAACCTAACGGGTTACCGGGGCTCCGGCTCGAAGCGCAGGAGAAGAAACGGGGTGGTTTTTAGTCAGTAAGAGTCTGACACTCCCTCCCGCCTCACCCAGGCGGGAGCAGTCACTCGATGATTTTCCCCTATTAAAAAAAAGCACTGAAACGAAAAAAAAATATCTTCAAGAGTTCATAAAACTTGATTATAGACTACATAAATGGAATTAATTAATGAACAATATAATTATACGTTGCCCACTTCAATGGGAGTGGTTAAATATAATTATTCAAATGAATGACTTTTAGATAACAATCGCAATGTTTTAATTATTATTATTATCATCTTGATACATTTTTTTGTAAATACCACAAAATAGCTTTATTACTAACTGGCTGTTAAGCGTAGAATACGATTCCTGTTTCTATCCTATGGGAGAATGTAAGCGGGATAAAAATCCTATCACGTAAATCATCTCATACCCGGCCTGTATACCAAATTTAATCAGAATCTTTTCAGTAGTTTCAGCATGATTGACAGACAAACATGCAAACAAAGAAATATTCACATTATAATATTATAGCGTGACTTATGTTTGTATTTCTCAAAAAACAAGAACTAAGACAATGAAATACGACTAGTATAAATATAAGCAATGATTTGTTAACCCTTTTAGTGTTATAGGTGGCTTGGATCAGTTACCATCAGATAATCTATCTGTTTGATTGCTTCTCGATCTAGTAAAACATGATTAGAATAGTCTTATGCTTTATAAATGGTCTTAGGGCCTATTTAAAGGCAGTTTTATTGTATCAAAGGAATAACGTTGAAAATTTGACAATAGAGATGATGACAGGGTATGAGAATTAAAAACCTAATTAGTCCATCAGTTAGATAATGAAAAAAATATTAGACACGTAGTTTTTTGTTTTGTCATATAAGAAAACATTACTTAGATAAAACGGATCAAAGTTTAGGAGTGGGAGTAAAAACGTCATTTCTAGGTATAAACGTCTCTAGAAGTGACGTCACGCGACATTTCAAATCAATATATTGTCAAAAGTATTTATATCTGTATAGAAATAAAAAATACGTGTCTAATGATTTAAAATAATCTACCAGACGTACATTAACTCGTCGAGTACCGTCATTATAGACACAATTATAGAACAATAGGTTGCGGTCACCGGTGACCGCTTGGTGTTTGACAGTTTAAAATAAAAATTAGTCATCTACCCTATTCTTCAATATTAAAAGATGTCAAATGTCAATATTATTTCACAGATATCAATTATCTGTTGATTGAATGTAAATGGGACCTTAATCACTTTATTTTGTAAACGATATTATTTAACTCTGAAATAATTATATGCTGGTTTATGTATCAGATACATAATGAGAGGAGTTCTCACCAAAACTACAATATCATTATATTAGATGTAATATATTACGACATGATCCATTGTTTTAAATAATAATATTTCATATAATAATAATTATATTACCATTTTATAGCGGTAGTTTAAAATCATAATATTTTACGAGTACTTGCGTTTCACGGTCAATTGTACAATTGTTTTTGTATTACATATAATAAACATTTTAGGGACGTTTGTCAAATAGTAATTCGTACACAGAAAATTATCAAATTTATTTTGTTTTTTAAAGTGTATTATTTTCCATTTGTTACTTTTGTTTTAGTATATACCTAATGTATGTACTGTACTGTATGTTATTACATAATAATTACAAAAACTCTGTTTACCCTTTCAGAAGCAAAATGCTTGATACTAAATCATATTTGTTTTCAAAATTGAGAACACTCCAGTTAGTTATTAAAAAATCATCCAAATATGCAAATTATTGAATGTCAGAAATTTTAATTAAGCTTACTAAATCAATTCGCGGTAGATATTAATTAGTGCATGTTCCGGTAAAACATCACGCGTCATTTTATCTGTAATAGAAGCTAAAAGAAACTTGCTAAAGAAAGCCATAACCTAAGTTTTAAAATACGACACTTCACTCTTTCGAGCCTTTTTAATCATTTTTATTTCCACCCCAAAAATGTCCAGTTTTACTCTGAAACACGACAACCGTGAATTTCCCACTCTTAGTCTGGACACTTTCAGATATTGGATTTTTGGTATAAAGTATTCCAAGTAGCAGGCTACACTTGGAAATAGTGCCAAAACTTTTATTCCTTTGGTCACCTCTTACGTGTATAAGTACCTAAAATTGGGGACAACCATTGGGTATTTGGCAAAAAGTATAAAAAGTTAATATAAAATGTATATTCCCTATTTTGCTTTTGGCTGTATACTGCCTGATTATAATAATTTTTTTTTTTTTTTATGCCATAAGCCGGTAAACGAGCAGACGGATCACCTGATGGTAAGCAATCGGCGTCGCCCATGGACATCTGGAACACCGGAGGCGTTACAAGTGCGTCACCGGCTTTTTGGGGATTAGGAGTTTGAGGATCGTTGGGGATTCAGGGATTGGGGAAATTGGGGAAGGGGAAGGTAATTGGGCCTCCGGTAACCTCATTCACACGACGAAACACAACGCAAGCGTTGCTTCACGTCGGTTTTCTGTGAGGCCGTGGTATCACTCCGGTCGAGCCGGCCCATTCGTGCCGAAGCATGGCTCTCCCACACTAAAAAAAAAAAAATCCGTAAATAGAGCATAAATTAAAGAATAAATCAATTAATTCTCTTCCATAACGTAAAAAATATGCAGCGTCAATGCATACATACATCTATCTCAAATTATCATTCAACAGACTTCTAACTTTATCCTTAAAATAATAAATTCGAAATCTAATGAAACCCCAACGCAAACAGGACATCATTAGACTCACTCAACCAGCTAATTATTGTACGACAATCGCTGAACAATTGTACTCAGGTAATGTCCCAACATAGGCAACTGATTGCCGTAACTAGGGACTTCCTTTAAGACAAAGAAGTTTAAAGATACATTCAATAAATCATTAATGTAAGGAAACTATCAACGGCTGAAGGGATCAATATGAAATTAGGAACAAGGGCTAGGTCTGAATTAACACAGGCTCTTTTTATCCTACGGACACGCAGGCGAAGTGGCTGGTAGAATTGTAGATGCGATCTACTAAATAATGAAAGAAAATAATCAGTCATTTGTCCCTCTTTAACGTTCATCTATACTAATATTATAAAGCTGAAGAGTTTGTTTTTTTGTTTGAACGCGCTAATCTCCTAAACTACTGATTCGAATTGAATTATTCTTTTTGTGTTGGATAGTCCACTAATCAAGGAAGACTACAGGCTAAAACATCTCGCTACGACCAATAGGAGCCGAGCAGAGAGGGTGAAACTGCGCGATAGTAGCTAGTATATTTATAATAGTGATGAAACTGGCGATTTATCCCTATACATACCACTCCAATATTCTAAAAGGAAGTAATTCAAAAATAATGTGAGGGAACATTAAAGGGTACAATTTCAAAACGACACCAAATACTTTTAAATAAATTCGAGTGCTTACTTTGATGATCATTGCCAAGGGTTTGGTGCCTCCCTAAATGTCTATAAAGACCCCATTTACTATTTTACACGTGGAGCCCATTTTAATTTTGATCTTTAGTCAAAATCCCCTTTAATAGACCTCAAAGACTTTGTAGTTGATTAATATTGGCTTGACTATTTTATGACCTTTCGTTTTGATGGAAAATTAGAGAAAGAATGAAAAACGAGAGCCTTACCATGTTATAATGTTTGCTTAGTATCCTAAGCCTCAATGGAAAAGAGTTAGGAAAATGAATGCCAAGCGAGAATCGAATTGTTGATGTTCACTTCACGTAATAATTATTTTATACCCCCAATTCTTCTGAAGTCGGTCAAATAATATACCGAAACTTTCTCTTAAGTGTAACAAACACTTTTCTGAAAACCGCTTCACAATCGGTTCAGCCATTTGCGAGATAATCGCGCACAAACATACATACAGGTCAAACAGAGAACCTCCTTTTATTTGAAGTCGGTTGGAAATAGAAGTAAACTTTGTTTGTAAGGAGTTTAATGTTAATCTCTTACTTCTTTTCATTCGCAGATTGTCCTCGCCGTAGCTATGGTGGCGGTCTCCGCTGAGGAAGCCGCGAAGAAGACCGAGAAGCGAGGTCTCTCTGGCCTCGGATACGGTGGCCTGGGATACGGTGGCCTCGGATACGACGGCGGTCTTGGATACGGCGGAGGTCTCGGATATGGCGGACTCGGATACGGCGGATACGGTAAGCAAATCGATTAAAGTCAGGCTCAATCATCATTATTTTTAGGTAGCAGTCTAGCCAAATCAATGCATGACTAGTTCTTCAGACTATACGGTCAATGCACTGGGTTTTCCCAACACACAATAAATAAAACTCAACAATACTATTGTCCGAGTTCATGGTCTAGGTGATTCGGACGCATTCCCAAAGCAATTATAGTTTGTATCAAAATCCTTGGCCACATAACAAGAAGTTTCCTGAACTCCGGTAGACTCACGTCCAACGATCCTTGAAATACCTAATACTAAGGATTTAGTGAAAATTTCAAACAATCGACCGCAGCCAAGTTGTCTGACCAAGTTTAAATTGGCCAAGAGCATTACATCTGGGAGACGTGACGGGGAAACCAAGTACTCGCTGGTACCGCCACGTTCGGTCTAGAACATTTAGTACCTAATAGTGTTTATTGGCAGTATTCTGGAGACACTGTCTTATAAACCAGTTATCATAGGACTCATAGACCAGAATACATACGTAATTTACTAAAAATTCTATTGGGGTAAGTGATGATTATCTTTTCAATAGTGTCCACATCTGCAAAGCACTTTAAACGTCATTATCATACTAATAAAGTCTATTACAGCACAATCAAATAAAAAACAATGAATCGTTAAGTTCCTCATTTGAACAACTCGTACATTTTAAAGCGTTAAGCGCTGAGCAAATTGTGCATTCAATTAACCGTCCTTAGACTATCTAAAAAGCGCTGCAGCGCTTACGGTCTAAGAAATGAAGACAGGGAATAAAAACCTTTTTTTAAAATCGTAGATGTAGCCAAAATGAAATTCAATCTTTTTTAGATAGACGTAAAGTTGCTTTTAGCCTAAACAATATTTTAAGTTATCAAAGTAAATTGTTTCATCCATGACTAATTCAATCCTATTTTAAAGTAATTGCTATATACTTATTTAGGAAATTGCCTTATAAGTACATGTTTTAAGGTTAAGGACAAATGCCAAGCCTTAGGTTTCAAATTGCCTGTCTGACATTAGGCCTTATTTCAATTCATTTACTGGAACATATTGGACGGCCATTCGGCACTTGGTAGGCCTATAATTTTCTGTAATCAAACCATTGATTGTGTGATTAGTATAATTAAGGGTATCTAGAATTGTGTGACCAACTAATAATTGAGGATCTTACGCATATAATTGTGTCGTCAAGAGATTATTAGTTTCTTAGGGGATAACTAATTGAACCTACATATAATTACGTAGTATCAGTAACATATTAATATACTCTATGTATCAACTGGAAGTCTTTAGGTACTACAATTTTTATTGTAGGTTGACAAAGAACGTTAGATGTAAAAAAGTCCTATATAAATGTAATTTTAAATACTGTTTTTTTATTGAATAAGTCGGAAAACGAGCAAACAGATCGCCTGATGGTAAGCAATCGTTACCGCCCATGGCCACCCAAAACACTAGAGGTGTTACAAGTGCCTTACCGGTCATTTAGGGATTAGGAATTAAAGGATTGTTGAAATTGGAAAGGTGGGTAATTGGGCCTCCGGTAACCTCACTCATACGACGAGACATAACGCAAGTATTGTTTCAAGTCGATCTTCTGCAAGGCCGCTCCGGTCAAGCCGAGCCAGTATTGTCGAAGCATGGTCACAGATTGAAAAATAATTACCTAAATAAAAATAAATCTCCAAACATCCGCCCAACTTTATTAATGGCTTTTGTACATTTTTTTCGTCTTCTAAATGTTTCATTTTTATTCGTTCCAATGCTAAGGTCAGACAGATTGTCAATTATGTAAAAAACTTCATCGTAAGTTACTTTTTTTTAATATTGTTCTACGCATGACTAGCCACTGTGATTGTCATGAATCAACCTTTTTATTATGGACATTGAGTTGAATATTTAGTAGAAAAAGTCAATTTACATGTAAAAACATGCGAACAGGTTCTATATAATATTTCCTTGACAATAATAGTTATTCATTTGACACAGTTTTCGTCACTACATGGTATAAAATAAAGTAGCTATCTACCGTCTGTCTGTCACTATGTAGGTATGCTTAGATCTTTAAAACTACACAACTGATTTTGATACGGTTTTTTAGCGATTTTAAGGTTTATATATAATATATGCATATTGCACCCGTGTGAAGCCGGGGCGGGTAGCTAGTTAATTATATTTTGATATGCAAGGTACAACAACATATTTATTGAAAGAGTAAAATCAGTAAGCTTGTTCATTCAAGTTTGTTATCTTTCCCAATTTCATGCAACCCCAGTAATAATAATGCTTGCAACAACACCCCTTAAGGCTTTGACTGCCAATAGAAAACTGGTGAAGGCAAATCCTCTGCCAATGTCAGTCACCGATGACCCCCATGGCGTTTAATGTGTTAAAAAACGACAATTATTTTCTTTTAACCTTTTTTTATGGCGTACCTAAACCGGTAAACGAGCAGACGGATCACCTGATGGTAAGCAATCGGCGTCGCCCATGGACACCTGGAACACCAGAGGCGTTACAAGTGCGTCACCGGCTTTTTGGGGATTAGGAGTTTGGGGATCGTTGGGGATTCAGGGATTGGGGAGATTGGGGAAGAGGAAGGTAATTGGGCCTCCGGTAACCTCACTCACACGACGAAACACAACGCAAGCGTTATTTCACGTCGGTTTTCTATGAGGCCGTGGTATCACTCCGGTCGAGCCGGCCCATTCGTGTCGAAGCATGGCTCTCCCACACTTAACCTGTTGAAAATTGTTGAAAATCATTCCCTAAATTTGTTTATACAAAAGTAGTCTCTAAACATTGGAAATAAGGTCTATAATGTAGTTATATATCCCCCCAAGCGGTCACCGGTGACCGCTTGGGGGGGATATATGGGATTTGAAATAACTTACATAACTTTAACGTCGCATTCAAAGATATATGTCACCCAAAGCGTTCCACTAATTACGCGAAGAACTCCTACGGTACGGTTTGTAACGTAACAACGTAGTATTACTGCACACAGTGGGCCAAGGACCATAGGTTCCCACCATACTTGTGACATTGATGACCAAACACTGTATCACAATGGCCGACATTTACTTTGTTTTAAGTCAGACCTATTGAAGTAGGATTGATAACTTATAAAAAGATACATTCATTGTCTAGACTGTATTAAGTTTCTTCTAAACTGCCAGGTCTATTTGTTTGCTGGACTGCCTCGTTGGTCGAGTGGTCGCAAGTGCGACTGGAGACAAGGGGTCTCAGATTCTACTAGGTTATCTTATAGGATTATTACTAGGTTTTCTAAAAAAAAAACTCAGTAGTAGCACGGCGTCTGGAATTGTGCCAGGTATATGGCAATAGGCTCACCCTATTACATGGGACTCATAACGTAAATAGTGAAAATTCAGTGTTACATTGCACAGTGACATTAAGTGCCATAATATGCACCTCTGCCTACCTCTTCGGGGATAAAAGATGTGTGATTTTATGTTATTTGCTCTTTCCATCTACAGCTGCACCAGTTGCAGTCAGCAAGGTTGCATACACCACCGCCCACGGTGCTGGCTACGGAGGCTATGGTGGATATGGCGGATACGGCGGATACAGCGGCCTTGGCGGATACAGCGGTCTTGGCGGATACGGGGGACTTGGTACGTCTATGATGAGATTCATGTTAATTATTTACTGCTGTTCGTTGTATATACCTAAATGACTGATATTTGATTATGGAGCATTAATGCCTAATAGTATAAAATATCTTGTAATTTAGCAAAAATATCATCTTTACTATACACTAAGCGCAATCCTAGTCTTTCACAAGTCAAAAAACCTATTACTAAATAGCATAACTTGAGGATTTTACCAGATCAGCAAACATAATCATCGCATCATCGCTTACCATCAGGTGAGATAGTGGTCAAACGTCGCCCCATCAAATATAAAAAAACATAAAAATATAAATCCAAGTTTATATACAGTTAATAGTTTTCTTCCTTACATTAAAAATACACTTCATTTTTTCTCTTCTATAAAACACATTGGCATTAAAATTCAGACAAAGGTCTGAGTAGAGGTAAACACAAGGGTGGCAAACTCTAGTGCAAACTTGGGAACACGTTAATAAGACAACGAGCTAATTAACAATACACTGCTTCCTTACAACTGCAGAGTAATTACATATTCGCTAACGAAACTTACTCTTATGAACAAATAATATAACATCCCGCGCTTTGTTTATTAGGGATTTTTTCAACAGTTATGATTGTAGCCTTTACTTTGACTTATATTCTTACTTATATTATATAGCTTTTACCCGCGGCTTCGCTCGCGTCACAAAAGGATAAAAAGTAGCCTATGTGACATATACCAATATAGACAGCGCCATCTATACCAATACTTTTGGTTTTCCCTTGGGAATATCAAATTTTTCCGCGATAAAAAGTGCCCTATTATTTAATCCGGACTTCCAACTTTACGTCTGCGAAAATTCAAAGCAATCGGTTTAGTAATTACGTCGTGAAAGCGGAACAAACAAACGAACTCACTTTCCGATTTATAATTTTAGTAAGGATGTTCTCAAGTTGGGGCAGAGAACATTCATAGAAGGCCTTGATCGCGATCTGTTTTGCGCGACACGCATTACCTTGTTCCACGTTATTCCGACTTCATATTTTTGGCATAATTTACAGCTAAACTCATTCAAAAAAATCGTCTAATCCTGTAATAGTTGACATAATCCGGGATTAGAATGCTAAGACTTCTAGCTCGGCAGTCAGACTTGCAATCAAATGACTAGTAAGCCAATTGGTGCGACTGCACGGTTGGTGCGGTGGCTGGGCAACCGGCTGCCGTGCAACGTGTCGCGGGTTCGATTCCCGCACGGAACAACATTTTGTGTGATCCACAAATTGTTGTTTCGGGTCTGAGTGTCATGTGTATGTGAACTTGTATGCTTGTAAACACACCTACGACACAGAAGATAATCCTAGTGAGGGGCAACGTATTTAAAAAAGAAATAAAAAAAAGTTAAAATCTCACAAGTACGTATGCTGCCTAAGAACTTGAAATAGATACCTCTCGATAATATTGTTGTTTAAGAACAATACTTGCATTGTTAAAGATAATAATCTCCATTATTTAAATACAATTTCACACTTGATTCGAAGTTCCCATGGGGTTTTTGTATTTAGATAATACAAGCTAGTTTTGTAGGATATTGTCCTCTCTCTGTTACGTTGCGTGACGCCTTTTAGCATGTTCCGATAATTATCATCATTAGTGACACAATTGCTTACATTATTAATGTAACATTGTACTAGGATCTTCATGGAGGATATTTAGGCTAAGTCGAACTCATCGTTCGCTTAAAAAAATTACGTGTAGAAGTGCTGCCTTGTAGCTCATTGCAGATATAAAGGCACTTGTTGTTTTACTGGGTTAAGGAAGAGTAGACAGTTGCCATGTCTATTACACTAACTCTTAAATCCTTAATCCCCAAACTGTTTGCTAAGCGTAAGGCTTATTATGACATTTTTAATTCTTTGTTTTTTTACTATGGAGTACAAATTAATTTCTTTTTTTCCCCAGGATACGGCCATGGTGGATACTACAGTGCCCCAGCTGTCAGCTACGCTAACCAGGTCGCGTACGGCGGATATGGCGGATATGGCCACGGTCTCGGATACGGCGGCCATGGTCTCGGCGGATACGGCGGTCTCGGATACTACGGACATCACTAAACTGACTTCGACTACATCAAAATTTTTTGATTTTTTTTTTTTCTTCAACATTTATTTAAATACTCGTAACATTGTACATATGTATGTACATTGCCTTTTCGATTTTTGTATTTAATCTTTTTAATCTGTGATCGATATTTTTTGTGATATCAACTTAATTTTTTGTTTGTTTTGGGAACCGATCCCACAATCTGTTTGACAGTGAACTGATGTTTACTGTGATTTATGAACAACGAAACTGCCTGAGAGTCTTTGTAAATATCTTAATAAAATAATATATTAAAAATCAAACTAGACGTTGTTTAATTTATGCTGTACTACCTTAAAATAAGCATGTTCATCAAATCAAATCAAATCATTTATTTTGGTTGCAAACATGGGTTATAAAATATACAAAATGTGTTTAATATCATCCCTTTACATATTCTACTACTGAAATATGAGTCTTCACTACATCTACGTAAGCGGCGCGTAGCAAACGTGTTAGAGATAAATATTATCGTCATCTTTTTTTCTAAAATAAAACGTTTCCCCACACTAAGATTTTCTCCTGTGTCGTGGGTGCATTTACAAACATACAAGTTCACATACACATGACACCCAGACCCGGAAAAACAATCTGTGGATCACACAAACAATTGTTCCGTGCGGGAATCGAACACGCTACACGTTGCGCGGCAGCCAGTTGGCCAGCTACCGCGCCAACCGTGCAATCTAAATCATCAGTCAGTACAGTCATCTTCATAGTGCAAGTGATAATAATTATCACGTTTAGGAGATGGTTTGGTAACAATAGTTTGGCCACCTTAAGAAAATACTGTTATCCGTCTTTCGGTACGACGCAGTGTAGCATACACGGTAGCATACCTATGTTAATTTTCATATCATTTATCAAAAACAACAACTTTAACGAGACATATTTAAAAAGCAGTAAACTTGGTACAAAAATTCTAAACGACATAAGAATTCACAACACAGTAAGCTAAACCCAAAAGCTGCCAAAACCGAGACCATTATCAGGATAACATGGCTGAAAACTTCCATAGTTCAGCAACAGTATTACCATATATGAATTATTAATGAGTTGCAGAGGTACCTATGTATGTATGTATGTTAGGTGAAAAAATATGTATTATTCAATAAGGGAGGATGCTAAACGGTGTATGGGTGAGAAGAAACTCTTTATAACACTTTTAAACTTTGATTGGTGTGCGTTTTAAGATTCTGCTGAATTTTGTTTAAGTGAAAAAAGGTAGGTAGTGGATAGAAATATTTATTAGAAGAAGTATTGTTATGTTTTCCTCCTTTTTTCTGTTAACTATCTTACTTATCTCTCTTTACTTATTATTACTTATCTGGGGATGTCAAAGAATTTATTAAAGGTTTTCCAAATTAAAATTTTGTTTACTCTATAATAGACGGCTTACGGTAAGAAGATGGATATCACGATCTCACAGAAAGCCGGATTAAGTTATTGCTTGTGTTGTTTTTCAAGTGAAGAGACTAGGAACCTTCACAAAGCCGGCAGCGTACTTGTCACTCCTCCTAATACCATAGACAACTACAACACTAGATGTCTATAGACAGCGCTCATCACTTACTATATTATCAAGTGATCTTGTCTACTCCTTAGCCCGCTATCTCATAAAATAAAAATCATCACTTACTGTAACGATGTGCTTTTACATAAATTCAACTAAAACTTCTTTACAAGTCTAATTATCTGTGAAACCTAACTTAAAATATGTTTATGAATTTATCTTATAGTGATACAAACTTATTTTAAGTCGTTTATAGTTTAAAATTATAGTAAGTAGCTGTATCTACTTTACTGAATAATTTTGCCTGAGTAAAATATTTAATGATCAAAAATATGTTTATATTAACAATCGTGAGACATACTAAATTAACTAAAAATCGCGGGTTACTCACGTGAATATACTGAGAAAGGCTCTACTAGTTCCGAACCATAGAGGGGTTCTTCCTCATGAGCAGCGTGCGTGCCGCGGCGATGTCGTTGTAGAGTTAGGCTGCGCGACATCGCCACGACCATATTAATCAAAAATATTGTTTAACGACTTTTCATGTAGATGCCACTAAAGTAACCAAATGATTTGTTACTTAATCAACATCAACAAGGCAGGTGTCATGATTCTCGGCTCTAGAGGTCTCTAAGGTTCTGTATTAGTTACGCTATAGTCTTTCATCCCTGAAGCGGACGGCGTGTTCTGCATTGTATATTGAACTAGCTGTTGCCCGCGACTTCGTCCGCGTAGAATAATGACTTCTGGCAGAATTTAGGCTTTTGAATTAGTTTTTATCAAGGGATATTCTACGGTAATGGATGTCGTCAGAATTGATTCAGTCCCGTAGATGATAGCGTGATAATATGTAGCCTATATGTTTACCAGACTTGTTAGTAATATTCATGCAAAATTTGAAATAGTAGTGCAGTACTTTTTGAGATCATCACGGCCATACATACAGACAAACAGACAAAAATTCTAAAAACCACATTATTGGCTTCGGTATCGATTAGAGATCACGCTTCAAATATTCTTTTAAAAAATATTCAATGTACAGTTTTGACTTTTCTACGATTTATTATATGTGTAGATAGCTGTTGCCCGCGACTTCGTCCGCGTAGATTAATGACTTCTGACAGAATTAACCAGAATCAATTCAGTGCCCAAGTAAGATTTACCTATTTTGAAATGATTTATCGTAGTTTCAATAAATAAATAATCCCGCAGGGATCTTACCAGTACAGTGCCCGATCACGTAAGGTTTGAGTAATAAAAACTATTCTATCGACTATTGTTGTACCGAATCTCTCTAGAATAAGTTCAGTGGTTAAGAGTTAGAGAGTCCTGGGGCATTGACGCATAGTTCCCGTTCTCGTGAGACATCTGTGAAAAAACTATCATACGTTACCCAGGTCCCAAATCATCGTTTTACCGAATGTAATTCAAAAAGATTCAATGATTCTAAATTCAACGGCTAAGAAGATTTATACAAACTCTCATTCCCTATTTTATCCCCTTAGGGGTGGAATTTATCAAAATCCTTTCTAAAGAGATACCTATGTCATAGTAACTTTATGCATGCAAAGTCTCAGCCCGATCAATTTAAAACTGGCAAAGTATCATACTTTGGGGTGAGAATGTTCAAAAACCTTTCTAAAGGGACGTTTACGTCATAATATCCATCTGCACGCCGAATTTCAACCCGATCGGTGTAAAACTGACAAAGCCTCACACAAACGTTCATCCCCTATTTTACCCCCTTGGTGGAAATTATCAAAATCCTTTCAAAGCGGATGCTTACGTCATAACATCTATCTGCATGCCAAATTTCAACCTGATCGGTTTAAAACTGACAAAGGCTCATATAAACTTTCATCCCCTATTTTACCCACTTGGGGGTGGAAATTATCAAAATCCTTTCACAGCGGACGCCTACGTCGTAACATCTATCTGCATGCCAAATTACAACCCGATCGGTTTAAAACTGACAAAGGCTCATATAAACTTTCATCCCCTATTTTACCCACTTGGGGGTGGAAATTATCAAAATCCTTTCATAGCGGACGCCTACGTCGTAACATCTATCTGCATGCCAAATTACAACCCGATCGGTTTAAAACTGACAAAGGCTCATATAAACTTTCATCCCCTATTTTACCCACTTGGGGGTGGAAATTATCAAAATCCTTTCATAGCGGATGCTTACGTCATAACATCTATCTGCATGCCAAATTACAACCCGATCGGTTTAAAACTGACAAAGTCTCATACAAACTTTCATCCCCTATTTTACCCCCATTGGGGGTGGAAATTATCAAAATCCTTTCACATCGGATGCTTACGTCATAACATCTATCTGCATGCCAAATTACAACCCGATCGGTTTAAAACTGACAAAGTCTCATACAAACTTTCATCCCCTTTTTTACCCCCTTGGGGGTGGAAATTATCAAAATCCTTTCTTAGCGAATGCCTACGTCATAACATCTATCTGTATGCCAAATTTTAGCCCAATCTGTCCAGCGGTTTGGGCTGTGCGTTGATAGATCACTATGTCAGTCAGTCAATCAGTCAGTCAGTCAATCACCTTTGAATTTTATATATATAGATTACCCACCTACCTATGTTAATCACACTCATATCATCCTCAGCACTTAGATAATGCACACAATAATGCCTTTGTGAATTTGCAGTTCTCAATTATATTACAGATAATTTCACAAAGCTGCATTCGTAATTAATTATTCAAATATTTGTTACTATTAGCAACACAGAGTAAGACAATCAGTTGCTATTACTAATACTGCAGGCGCTTCACTAACTCAGCAGAATATAATGTTGTGTTGTATCTGTCGAGTCTGTTAATTAAGTGAAGTAGTAATATTGGCATGAGCATTCATATAGATTTCATTTTATATCAGTAAGGGAAGAAATGCAAATACTTTTTATATTACCAGTGTAATTCAAAACTGTTTTAATTACATTTTTGCTTACAGGTTTTACTATAAAATGGCTTGGCCTGGAAACTTATAAAGATAAAAGGATGTGAATAAAGAAATAGTTTTTATAATACAATACTAGTATTCGCTACAGGAACATGCGATTAGCATCAGATTTACAAAGCGAAAAATCACCTGAATACGGGCGACAGCGCCTGCTAAAAAATAACAAGCAAACGTGTGGGGCTGTAGAATTGCTCGTACTTTTAGTAAAAGCGTACAATGCTAGGGTCTGTTCCTGGTCTGTTCATGTAATATTCATATTGTAACTCGTACTTTCTCTAGGAGACATTTCATTAAGATAATTTCTTAGATTATTATTACTATAGTTTGGTTTATTCTAACATAGTATTACTGGGTTGTTTAAAAAATTCTCAGTAGTAGCACGCGGTCTGTAATTGTGCCCGGGATATGGCAATAGGCTCGGTGGGTGTTACATTGTACAGTAGCATTAAGCACTGTAATGTGCACCTCTGCCTTTCCCTTCGGAGATAAAAGGGTGATGTTATATTAATTTCATAGATACCATTTTTAATCAGAATATATTTCACAAATAGGTAGCATTTGCATTTGCGTGGCTCCATAGTTTTTTTAGCATTAAATAAATACATAAAATAAACAAATCTCAAAAATACTTCTAACTGCCTTTATTTTATAATCTACAATAGAAACAAATAAATAGGTGAGTCACTGCCATTTTTTGGATATTGTGAATAAACCCTAAGAAAGATCGTATGAGATTTTTAAAATTAAAATTGTATGCTAT